CCAAACTTGAGGGGGGAAATTGAAATTCTTGAGATGTCACGGGCCAAGGTGGAAATATAAGATTAAAAACCTGCGAAATTCCGCGGTACTTACTTTAGCGGTTAAATTTTGGACACACACACACAGATATTTTTACAATATCAACTTCAAGTCTTCAACGCGTATGGAAATATACATATATATAAGTACAGATTTCCATCCATTGATCCGAAGAACATCAAATCCTGGTTTCTACTCCATAATTCAACCAAAAAAAATGAATATCTTCTCCAAAAAACCTACTGCCAAAGGTTGTTCCCTATTCATTCATACCGCGAAAATTGCTTTATTTTATTTTTATTTTCATTTTATTAGTTAAATTTAATTACTTTTTTTCATTGATTGAATTCTCTATTTAGACTTTTATACGGCATAAGTTTTTCAACTATGTTTTAACCAATTTGATCGTAGATGTTAACATAAGCTCTTTGATTACAGAGGCGCTTCGGGAGAGTAAGAGGGAAATGGCAAATGCTACTAGAGGTATATTTGTTTTTAATATTTTGTTAATTTCAGGGTTTTATTGAAAAAAATTATCTATTTATTTAATTGATTTTTCAGTTCAATTAATTTTCTGTGTCCAAACTTTTTATTAGAATCAAAGAAGGGAATTATGCTTATTCATGATTTACCTAAAAAAAGAGCCATAGTTGTGATGTGCTCAAATAAGCTTGAAATAAACAAATATGAATTCTCAAAGATGTTAAAGAATATAATATAGTTCTAGGTTTTGATGCCGTAAATAGTAAGTACTTTTGGTAGTGTTTACAAAACCCAAGAACCAATTGTGTCGTAGAGCTAGTTTGAAGATGGGTAGATTGAAATTAACATGGCCTGTGGTAGTTGCTAAGGATTTCAAAGTAGTCAACGAAACAAATATAAAGACAGAAGAAGAATTCGAATATCGGACCTCAAATTTATTGAGAATAAAGGCTTGTTTGTTATTGTTGTCGTATACTGGTACAATCGTTCAATTTTCAAGCAAAGTCGAATTCACTTTTCTTGAAACCCAATTTAAGGTTGTTTCTGGTTTATATGTATTCTAGATAGATAGGATATGGATAGCCGAAAAATGCATGTTTCAGTCAGTCAAAAAATCACTAAATACCTTATTAAGCTGCAATACTAAGGTACTTTAATTTTGAGAAGAGTTGAAAATAATAACGACATGACTACTTTCCTTGCTATGTTTCCATTTTTACGTTGTAATCTGTTTTGGTACGGTTAAGATTTCAAAGAACTAATATACGATGGTCTCCGATTTTTTATTTAGGCGTAGAGCGGGAAATCCATGCATTGCAATTAGAGGTATTCCCAATATTTTTCATACGTTTCTATTTAAGGTTTGTACAAATAAAAATAGGATCTAAAATGGATTATTTGTGATGCAGGAAAAGAAACTTGTTACTGAGATAAAGAGAACTGCGAAAACTGGGAATGATGTATATTTTTTTGGATTCTCCTCAGCTCCAGAAGACTTGAGTTTACTGTGGCTAATCTTTCATTATTTCTGCATTTCTTAGGCAGCCACTAAAATTCTTGCGCGCCAACTAGTCAGGCTTCGACAACAAATAGCTAACTTACAAGGTAGTCGAGCTCAGATGAGAGGCATAGCGACTCACACCCAGGTAAATTGTTAAATAAATCCTCACCTGGATTTGATCTTTTGTAGGTTCAATTGCCTTTGTTCATTTTGGTATGTGGGAGTTAACTAGTTTTTTGACAGGCAATATCTGCTCATTCATCTGTTGCTGTTGGTATGAAAGGTGCTAGCAAAGCTATGGCAGCCACGAACAAGGTTCGAACACACTTCTAATTGAAATATATTGTTTTTTGTATATTAGCTTCATGCAATATCTATCGTAATAAATAAGAAAAATATTGCAATGATTAGTTGGTTCATGTTAAGTAGAAATGATTATTAATCTAGACCATAGGATCATTTAATTGATGAGCCAAGGGTCCATTAAAAAGGGAGAAGTCATTTTTTCTTAGAGAAGAGGCCAGAGAAGGTTGTGTCTCTTTGAGCAGACACTAACAAATCTATTAATACGGAAAAGTTAGTGAGCCAAGGGTCCAATCCTTCCTTCATTTGTCAAGCTTGCTCCCTTAAGCGATCACCTTGTTTTGGTGTAACAGCTATATTACAATTCATCCTATTTTTTCAAGGATTTCATAATTAGAGGCTAAACTTTTCCTTAGCACGAATTGCTACACATCACCTCTTTCTATATGATAATATGCACATAAGTCGCTATGTTCCACGCGGGTAATAGCAAGAGAGTGAAGAACAAATATCCTCCAAACCAAAAGACTGATTGAGTCAGACTCAAGAGAGTGGGTAAAAGGCGTGGCAAGAGAGCAAGTTTGGCAAATACTCTTATGCGAGCTGTTGCTACCTACTCCTAACTCATATATTTACCTTTTAGCAACCACTCTACGAGTCCTATAGCGGTTTCTTCAGCCTTTTCTATGTTTTGGTGTTCTATATGACCGACATAAGACTTGGCTTGATAGATATTATGGAGGTTCACCGAGCACCATGCCAAATCTCCCTAACATTTTCTTCTCTTCCACTTTGGGGGCGTGTTGTTAACCAGGTCTTGCTTGAAAAGATTGCTGCCGTGCCAGTGTACAACATTGTATTACAGTCTTTTGGTTTTGTGATGTAGTAGATCTTGGTATTAAGGATAATTTTACTTTTTGTCACTTTTTTTGTGTTTTTTATCATTTATGCTTATTAATTGGACTTGATGCAGCAAATGGAACCTGCAAAGCAGGCAAAGATGATTCAAGAATTTCAGAAGCAATCGGCACAAATGGATATGACTGTAAGTTCATATTTGGCATTGTATTTTAAAAGATATTACAATTATTGCTAGTGAAGTTAACGATTCTGGCTTTTTTATCTGTCCTTGCAGACGGAAATGATGTCAGACACCATAGATGATGCTTTGGATAATGATGACGCTGAGGACGAAACTGAAGAGTTAACGAACCAGGTATATTTCTGCCTGGGAAACAATTTTTCTGGCGAGATGCCGAAATTAAAGTTTTGTCAAGTAAAATCCTGTTAGTTAAGTAAATCACCAAGACTGGTTAATCCAATAATTTATTTAAATGGAAGTTCTGGTGCTAATGGCTGTAGTTTGAATTGCTGTCCTGGATCAAGTTCACAGTGACTACTTCTCAGAAGCCATAATTTCAAAAAAGAAAGAAAAATTATACATTTTTTTTAAAACTAAGATTGTTTATTTTGTTATCTCAAGATCGTAAGATAATTGCTAGCAAAGATCGTAAGATAACCAAAATCTAGAAGTCCATAATGTTACTTTGCTCTGACTTTTAGACAATTAGTATTACTAGTTGATCGTCATGTTAAACCTAGGAGGATTATTAGGATCCAAAAATACGTGACTCGTAGAGTTTTTGTCTCGGTATGGGTTCTACCTGGACCAAATTTTCAGATCACTTTATTGAAGTGTAACTGAAAACTGATTACAATTATATTTTCTGAAGAATGTAAGAATTTGTGAACATGAGTATTATATTGTCATGAGATGTATTTCTCCCTGGAATACATTTCACTCATTTATGCTTAATTGATGTTTCCAGGTGCTGGACGAAATTGGTGTAGATATTGCCGCACAGGTTAGTTTTTTTCTTGAACTTTTACTTTGACACAGTGAGAAGTTTCCATGACTTATATTTAAGTCGACATCCCTTTCTGATTCTTGGCAGTTGTCAGCCATACCCAAAAGGAAAGTTGCTGGGAAGATCACCGAGAATGTTGGAAGGTACAGCTTTTCCAACACAAATGCCCCATTTCATTATGTCACTGTAGTGTTTTTTTAACAAGAATAAATTTCAGTACAGTTCTGCAGACTTAATATATAATCGACACCATTTCTTACGTCAAGATTAGTTAGAAGCAATCACATTAAGGAAGTCTTAAGCGAGAATACACCAATAACTAAAAATGGGTTTCGGTAATGATCTTAGGGCCTGTTTGGTAGGGATTCTCATTTTCTACAGTAAATCAATTCTCCTTTTCACCCACACATTTTTCAATAAAATAATNATTTTCAATCAAACATTCTTCAATAAAATAATATTTTCCATCACATCAATAATTTTTTCTTCTTTTTCAACCACACATTTCCCATCATATCACTATTCAAAATCAATTCTTCCCCAAAAAAATCCCTACCAAACAAGCTCTTAGTATCCTTGCGTAGCTGTGCCTAGAGATGTAAATAGGCATGGCCTATCCCAGTAGGGCTTGTGCTGGGCATGCCCATGCAGGTCAATGCCCCCTAAAGCGGGGCCTGCACGGCCCAGTTCGGTATTGGGCGGCTCGGTACACTTTGACACCCTTTCTTGTGGCAGACAGAAACACACAAACAATTGGATGGTGCTACACTGACACTTTCTCTCATTACCTATGTATTCTCCCTCTCTCTCGCTCTCTGTTCCACAAAATTTTTGGGTATACACCTTTGTGTTGTCTACTATCTGATTTTCTTTTGTTCACATTCTCTCCAGTGGAAATGTAATGCTTATTCTTCAAGTTTCCATAGATCATATTCTTAGCATTGACCTTAAGTTTCACGGTTTTCCATTGTCGCGTGGGAGCCGTGTTTTCTTATATATTGTCAGGGTTTACATCTTCTACAGTATTGTCTGGTTTTGTTGATGTTGTGAACCAGTTTCTCTTATATATTTTGCTACTTGTAGTTCGGGGACTGATGAATTGGAGAAGAGGTTGGCTGCCCTCAGAAATCCTTGAGCTGCATGCATTGTGAATTGTCAATATTGTCCTTCCTGAGTCGCCGATTACTGCTGCTCCACAGTTTGATTTTCTTGAAGATATACTATTTTTGTGCATAACTCTCACCTATTGCGAACTATCAAGTTCTCATTTACGGTTCTTAGGAACTAGTTTTACCACTCCTTTGTACACTTTTAATTGTAACACCTTGTTTATAATATTAAGAACTGAACTCGAATCTTATCCTCGACACCATTATTATTTTTAATATTCAAATAAGGGTTGGAGTCAAAATAAACCTCAAAACTAGAAGAAAAGGTGGAAAGTGAGGAATAGAGTCAAAAATAGAAATGACTTCGAAAATATGCGAGTGAGGAAAGAAGAAAGTCTGAACAAGTTTTGGAAGTAAAAAATCAAGAGAAATTTTTGAATAGTGATTTTTGGAGAGTGCGTGGTTCAAAATGAAGAAATTTTTTTCGATTTACGTATATTATTATTTTATTGGAGAATGCGTAGTTGAAAATGAGTTTTGAAAAAACCAATTTTTGATAAGACGGGGCTCAAACAAGGGCATAAACTGCAATTCAAAGGCAAGAACTCTAAACAAAACCCCAACCAGAGATGAGCGTAAATTGTTGTGCAAGCCACATTTTCCATTTACACAAATTCTATAATGCAAAGATCGCTTTACATAGAAGGCTTTCATCCAAATTTTTACAAAAAAACTCGGTACAATTACTTCCTGATTGAGAGGAAATCGAAGCTTCGAAGAGGGTCATTGTGAGTTCCTTTGGTAACTGCACCACGAGAGAAGGATGATGGTTTGGGTTCAATCCCATTTCTTTGTGTGGTAGACAAACGACCACTGCTCGACAACAATCTGCTTGACCGGCCATCAATGGGTTCACCGGATGAGCTTGGTCTGCTGCTTGAAATGGCAGCTCTTTTTGAAGAGCTGCCATTTCGAGACGTTCTACCTTTTTCTGACTCCATTTGCTGCATATAAGGAACCATAACAATGTAAATAACAAGACAACATCAGAGTTTTCCAGTAACTTGCACCAATGGTCTAAATGCTACAAAAGAAAATGAAATGTCAAGCACAAAGTACAAGCATAACAGGTGTGATTATCTCGACTCATTTTCCACCCCCACAAAACCAAAGAAAGCATCTGGAAACTCGTAACACGCATTTCTCAAATTCTGTGTCTGAAGAAAACAAGGAATATCATATCTTTCAAATACAGAAGCAAAAGCAAATTTCACTTTAGCGACCTCTATTACAGGCCACTACGTAATCCCCACTAGAAGAGAAGGAAAAAGAAAAAAGAGAGAGAGAGGGGTGCTGGAAGTTTTTTCAGGGGCCGGGTGCGGGCGGTGAGAGAGAGCAAAATACAAATAGAGAAATTTTCTAATTTCTAATGGGAAGGGGGTGAACAAATACCACATCCTTTGATGAAGGTACATCTTCTGATGTCCTATGTCTGTGACCTGAACCTGAAATATGTCTTCTGGAAAAAGCTTCAACGGCACCTGAGAATCTATCTCGAATATCTTGCCCCACTGAGAACAGCAAAATGAAAAGAGTCAAGTAATCATACTGGAATTTCCATGTGAAACTGAATATGCTAATTCAATTAAGGCATCACTGAAATCAACTCAGAAATTGGAAGTCTGCAAAAGCAGACAAAAACAGTATTACAACAGGGTGAAAGTCCACGTGCTATAGTCATGCATTATCGATTCACAAGTCAAAAGGTGAAACTCTTGAGTTCCAGGTGGTGTTTTTACCTGATGTTCTCCCTGGTCTTTCGCCAGAAGGTCTCACATTTAACCCTGCACTACCACTGGGATTCTGGAAGCGAAGCCATGAACTAGTAAATCGTTATATCAAAGAAGATGAAGCCAACAGATAATTAATTATACAAGCACTTACTTGTGCTCTAGAACTGGCACCAATCTGAGGAGACTTCAGTATAGTCCAGTCAAAAACATAGTCAAATTGATAACCTGTGCCAGTATCTGAGTCAAGATGCAGAATATGGGAGATATGCACAATGATGACAAGATACTTGACATACTCGGGAAACCAAGAACACAAAATATTGATAAAAGAAAATCTTTGAAAAACAGAAGACTCGAGGATAAAAATACAGTCATATCCAATAATTAATAAATTTAATAATGGTTATAAATTATTACAGCCACAAATTTATATTGTTTCCTGTACTTCCACAAACAACTTTTCTCGCATTCATTATTACGTAAGTATACTATGCATGAACAAGAGTTAATTTTTTCTAAATCGTTCTTTGACCAATACTCTTCGATTAAGATTTATAGTGGCATATTATGAAGCAAATCCCTACAATAAACTCGTCTACCAAGTGAAATTGCAACCTTTCAAATGTTAACATGACAAGACACCTAAGTAACGTAATTTTTCTGTTTACTTTCTTTTATATTTTCTTCTCTTTTGTCTTCATGCTTGTTCTTTTTCCTTACCTTTATAAAGACGAGAAGGCACCATTGCAAGTGATGATGAGGAGAAAGAATGACAAGCAATGAGCATGACATGGAATCAAATATGTTGATGATACTCTCAAAAATCCTATTGGCAATATTGATAAGAAAGCCTTTTAGCCTTTTTTTAGTATTAAGAGTAGATTACAATTTTGTCAGGTGATTACCAGTTTGATGGTCTATTATTTACTACATTAGACCTATTTTATGTTTGTCTGCAAGTTAGAATCCTATTTTTGTTAAATTATTTTGTTGCAAATTTAAAGTCAGTTTATGGTTTTATTACAAGAACCTTTTATATTTTATTAAACTGTTGGTTTGTGTTGTGATTTGCGCCTTGTCTTGAAGAGCGTCCACTGGTTCCTCAAGAGAGCAAAAGATCAACTTCTGCGAAATATTATTATTATTATTTTTATATATAGAAATCTAAGACTCAAAATGTAGTACCAAAAGGTAACTGAAATATAGTGGACCTATCGGCAGGAGGTTCGGAGGATGAGCATGACATGGAAGACAATGTTGACCCATTCCATAATCCCATAGCTCGTGCCAATCCCAATCACAGTGGATTAGAAGAGTAGTTTTCAAGATTCAAGAGCTCAAGAAATCAGTTCAAAGAGTTCAAATTGAAGTTTCATATTTCCTTTGAAGAATGCACACGGACGACTTCCTTTATTGGGAAGCAAGCTTAGAGAATTATTTCAAACAGAAGCCGATGCAAGAACATAAAATACTTTGCGAAGATGAACTTACAAGGAGTTTGCTACAGTGGTTGAAAGGGTTAGGAAAGTAATGGACTAGATAATGAAAACCAAACATTCACACTAGGGAATTGATCAAAGCAAAATTCAGATAACAAATTTGGCCTATGCAATACATTATTTCTATTGAATTGATACACTCAACTATACTTTGACTTACCACTTCAAGTCGGTCTCCACGAGACTAACAAGAAAACTTATAAATCATTGGAAATACAACCACCAAATTGAAGGGTCAGATAAAGGTGGAAAAGGAAATTATTCAATTTGGGCTGGTATAACTGCTGGCAATGGATCTACACACCGGGCTAGCTTGGAAAGAAAAGTCGAATCATAAAGATCCAGACTGCACTGACTGGGGCTGACCCTTTAGGTCTACCATCAAATGTTTCAATTGTCACTGGATAAGTCACGTTTCTTTCCACGTCCTCATTGTCAAGTTAATCTAACTGTAAGGTGTACGAAAAGAAGGTTGGAGAAAACGAAGCATTTTATGTACCAATGTGGTAGAGAAAACATGTCTAGTGTGATCATTTACAATAGTATCCCCTGACCAAGTAATTTACTTTCCAAAAACGCCCTTACATAAAGCACAAGAATTACCACCATATTCATGTACATAAATTGAAGGTAAAGGTAAACAAGTTTATCAAATGCTCATTTTTTCCACCGTAGACAGATGGGAGTATAAATATTAGAGATTTTTAATCTATTGAATTTCAATGTTACCTTCATTACTGTATAACAAAATCATGTGGTTTAGAATTCATTACCTTCACGAATAAATAAATCTCGGAAAAGCCTCTTCAAATACGAATAATCTGGCTTGTCCTCGAATCTTAATGATCGACAATAATGAAAATATGAGACAAACTCTGAGGGATATGATTGGCAAAGCACCTGTAAATAATTACAAATCACGTGAACTTTCTGCAAGTGTCATCACTAAAGTAACATAACTTGATGGATAACCAAATTAGGGGAAGATGTGTCAGCAATGATTGAACTACACTAGAATTTAGCAGCCAAGAAAAAATTATCGATCGAACCAGAATCCAAAAACTTCCAAATATTTGCATAAAACTTAGATAATTTACAGATAAATCTTATGGACAACTTTTGAGAAATAAGGACAAGAGGTCGCATATCAGGTACCAATCAACTGTGATCAAGTGCATGAGACATATGTTAAGCTTCAAAATGGCTATTTCTAAGCTAGACCCTCAATTCAAAATAGCTACTCCTAAGTTAGATCCTCAATTGCACCATTTCAATCATACTTCGAAAACATGAACTTGAAAAAGCAGATCAATTGCCTGCATGAGCTATGCAGACGTGAAACCAAATATATACCTCTATCGTGGTTAACATCTTCTTTTCACTAATCTTGTCATATTTCTGCTTCTTTGTGCCGGCTTTCAACCCCTGCCAGGGCAGGCTGAGACAAAACGAAAAAAACAGTATCTATTAGGAAATGTAACGTTCTATATCTATATGAAGTTAAAACTCAAAATCAGGCAGGGGAAATGCCCAGAAAAATAACTGGAGATGATTTTCATATTCAACCTTCCTCTCAGGAAATACATAAGGACATAACCAAGAGATTCCAAGTCATCCCTTCGGCTTTGTTCTGCGAGCACAATTAAATACGTAGATGATAAGCTATTTAGATTGTTCCAAAATCTAACACAGCCTACCTCCCTAATCAGAAATAATTTATGATGAGATGGCACA